GTGTTTGGGGCCAGAGAATCCGCGGCAATTTTCGCAATTTTTGGGGCTATTTTGAATTTTGCAGAGCTCAGGTAATTCATTCAGATCTGGTAATGACATAACAAAGTGCATCTACCTTTGTCCTCCATCTATTTGCAAAGTGCATCTTCGACGGGCAGCAGGCAGAGAATCCGCGACAATTTTTCTCATTTTCGGGGCTATTTTGAATTTTGTGAGCTCAGGTAATTCATCTGTTTCAAGGGCTTTTCAGAATGGCCATTTTATTGACCCGGCCCAATAAAAAAAAAAAAAAAAAAAAAACCTTGACACGTCACCGTGTACACCAACATGTTGAGGGGAAGGTACGAATAGCTTTTTCCTTTTCAAAAAGAGTGATTATTGAAAAGCTATCAAGTGCTTAGTTGTGAATTCAGAAGTGTTGGTGAATATTAAATTATAAGTGCTTAAACTACATATTTTTTTATTGTTTCCTATTTATTCAAATTTTATTATCGTATAAATAATATTTATATTCCATATCTTATAAAATCTTATAAATTTAACATTTTAATTAAATTATCATGCCATAATTATTTTTATTTTTTATTTTTGACATATGGTACAATATATGTATGAAAGACAGAGTACGGCGTTGATGAAGCCTCATTTACTCTTCAATCTTCACAGTGCAGTAATTGAGGCTAAAAAATACAAAAAAGGACACAAGGCCAAGGGGTTGCAGTAATTGAATAGCAGCTTTACTTTATTTCCTCCTCCATTGTTACCTTAATCCTTACAACAATAATTCATTCATAGAACAACGAAACGTTTTAATCCTCGTAAGATAATCTCATCAGAAATGTTATCTGGGGTTACGAACACTCAGAAGCTTCACATCATCAACCACTAGGCCACAGAGTGAAGCGAAGTCATCGCTCCTCGTATGGCAGTACGTGCTGAGGAACATGATTCATGTCCTAGTAGAAACTGCTACAAACCTCAGCACATCAAGGTTATAGCCACCCGTGCCCTTGGATTCATAAGGAACCTTGACAGTGTCCAGACCAGCAAATGCCTCGACTATCATTGAACTCTTACAAGAATGATTATATGAAATAAAATCAAATTGAATGGTCATGATAACATCAATATAAAATTGGATGGCCATTGGTGGATTTAAGTCATTAAGATGTAACCTTTGTACCCTGTCACATGGGATGCATTAATGACCAGTTTTCACTTTTGGGTTTTGTATTCTTACATATTTTCTATTTTAGGGAAGATATTTCCAAATGAAATGATGACAAAAGCTGTTTGCGTTCACATGGTTACATTACCCAAACTTGTCTTAACTTGATAAATTATAATAATATTTTCGTATGAAAAATTGAATAATATTAAAAAGAAAATTAAGATTTTATCAATGTATTGTTTAATTCTCGTCAATATTGCATATTTGTTAGTTTTTTTTGTTCATCAACTTTTTGAAAAATTACTAAAAATATGATTCTTAGCCAAATAAAATGGGACTCAGTTAGTTTGTTAAAATATTGAATAAAATTAAACAGTATAAATTTGTTAAAATCAAAATAAAGTAAATTAAGGAACAAATCACGTGCATGTTAAGTTACAATTGTTGTTATCAGTATTCTTTTAGTTTAGTAATCTAGCAAACATGTAATGTTTTGTCTTGTTTAGTAGGTAAAACGTTATTTTTAGCCTTTCCAAAATTAAGAATTTTGTAAATTTTATGCAAGGGTTGCATGTTTGGTTAATCTTTAAAAAAGAAAAGTAAAGCTCATTTTACGTTAAAAAAATAAATTATTCTTTTTTTTTTTTTACAAAAAAGAGTTTTCCTTCTTTTAAAATCTTGTTTGGGACCATTTATAGAGACGAGCAGGGACGGATTTAGGGTGTGGTCCGGTCCAGCCCCCAGCCCATTTAATTTTTTATGTACAATATTTTTTTTTTTTTTTTTACGTATTAACCTAATTTGTAATCCCGTTCTGGATTCGTCCCTGAAGACGAGTAACGAATTAGCAAGTAGTACTAATGATCTCACAAATTGTGTGGGTAAGAAATCTTTGATATAGTAAAGCGGGGAAAACAATGAAATTGTAAAATATGAGATCCTTGGGCCTTTTGCTTCAAATTCAATGCAAATTATATTTGATACACGCTCGTATTAAAAATTTATAACTTAATGGAACGTTTAAATTAAGTCCTTTTGTTAGCATATTACTGAGTATTCGTCCTATGCGTTTCTACTACGTTTAATGTGCCAAACACCTCAAGGTTATTAGAAAAAATAATAAAGATAGGAGAATTGTGTCCAAATGCTATGTGCTTGTATGATTTTTAAGCATAAATTTTCCTTCAATTTCTCCTCATTCGTTCATGGATTATAATGCCAAATGTCAACATATGAAGAAATGTGAATGCACCCCATTTCGCAATCCATAGAGTTGCCCTCTTTTCACTCCCATTACGTGGTATTATAATTTTTGGAATAGTATTTTTTTTTTTTTTTTGGAGAATACGGAAAAAAAAAGGGAATTTTTTTAATTTAAGTATAATATTATTTTATTGAAAAATTTGTGATTGAAAATAAGAGAAAAACAAATATATTATAATTTTAAGAGAAATGCTAAAGTACATGGAAATTTTCACAGATTTTGCATAGGAAGACAGTTTGTAGAAATTTTCTGTACCTGCAGATTTATTCTAATTTTAATCAAGGCCCAATAGGACAAATATATTATGGACAAAATGCCAAGAAATTCAATCAATGCTTGTACCATCTTTCACTGAATAAGAGAGAAGGGTATACCCTCCATGATCGATATACATAAAATTGTCATTCCTAACTTTTTCCCATCATAAGCTTACCCTTAACTTTTCGCTGATTAACCGATCTTATCCTTAATGAAGGTTTTCATTCAAAAATTTTGTTAGAAGGCTATGAAACGAAGGACAAATGTTTAATTGAATATTTTTTATTAGTTTATTAAAAAATACGCTCGATAAATAATTCTTTTTATTCTTCCCCAATGAAACTTTTACACACAAACCTTCTTGCCTGAATCAACTATTACACATTTGCAATTTAATCCACAAACTTTGAAATTCTTCATTTTCACCATTTTTCGGCCTCTTTTCACTTCTTTTGCTCAAAAGCCAGCCAAGCTTGAATATATCTTCCAACAATCGATATTTAACCACATTAGTAACAATCCAAATAATTTGACTTCCAAATGTTTATTTTTGATGGCTCGAACAAGCGTAAAAATTACACATATCACAATCGTCATAAACAAAATGTACAAATTAATGAAATGTAAATCATAAATATGAGATTTTAAAAAAAATTAATATTTATCCTATTCGCATTCATTTGGCTGTAGTTTTGGTTCTTAAAAACCCCCTACCAAAAATAAATACAACTTTCAAAGGAAAAAGGCGCTATAAAATGAAAAATAATCTATTTTTAAACAAGATCCCTTCTTTATTTAGTATTTTATAACACAAAAAACCCTTTTCAAAAAATTCTAGAACACGAAAATTTGTATTAAAACGTAGTAACAACTAGACAATTTTGGGAAGGAAGAAATTGGCTTTTAGAATTCAACTTATGGGGTTTTAAAGTAGAAACAAAGAGTGAAGATAAATAGATATAACTCGAACTCGTCCTTATCAAGAATTTTGTTGTCGAGCGATGGATTGTTTTTATTTATGTTTTGGAATAACTACATTGATTTAAAAAGCTCTTTTTTTTTTTAATTTATCATAATTTACTAAAAAATCTAATTTTAATCCCCACTAAATAAGAACTTTATTCAATGTAGTGGCTTGTTTCTCAGAGCGTTTGTAATGCTGGCCAATGATAAGGTGTGGCAATAGTGAACCTCAGGCTTAGTGGTCATTACCCATTTCTTAAAAATTATTTTTCCCAAACTCATTTTCTATATATATCATGAAACTCATATTTTTATCGAATTTTCCAACCACATACCAACTTTTATCAAAATCTACTAATCTTGTCTTAATCCAAACCAAACAATGACTTAAAGCATCTCCAAGAGACTCATTAAACATGAGATACTCTCTATTTTAAAGACTCAACATATAAAATCATGTTCTAAGAAACTATTTAAATTAAAATTTTAATTTTGCAAGTGAGTTTTTCCAAATTTAGAGAGTCAAACTCTCTATAATTAAATGCATTCAAAGTGTTTCAATTTTAAATGTAGAAAAATAATAAAATAATCTAAAAATAAAACTAGTTAAAATAAAACATAAAGAAAAATAATAATTTTTTTTTTGAGTAATAAAATTAAGTATTAAATATAAATAGCTTGTTGGAGTACTTCAAAATTTTAACTTTCTCAATTTATATATGCTTCCAAATGATAGAATATACTCTTTAAAAATAGAGAGTTTCTTGAAGACTCTTAATCTTTGGAAGAGTTCAAAAGTAAGAGATTAACTGTACACAATTCAAAAATCAGGTTTTAAGTTTGACTAATGCAAGAATCAGATTTTAATTAATTAATTAAATATATTTACTAATTAAATATAATATGATCGAAATTATATAATTAATGATCACATATACATAATTATAGGTAACATGTCACACATTTTAAAATTAATTGATCACAAATTATTTCGAGGTCACATATAAAAAAATTTGTACGTCACGGATTATTTTGAGGTCGCAATTTTTAAATCAGTTGGTCATAGATTACTTTTGAGTCACATATTATTAAATTTTTAGGTCACAATTAAGTAATTGGTCATAAATTACCAAACATTTGGTCACAGACTACTGCCACTACCACTTTCCACCACCCTCACCACGCCGCCACCGTCACAACAACACCAACAAACCCGCCAACAAATCATATCACACTACCACCACCACCACCACCACCACCTCACGAGCGCCGTCAACCTCAACACCACCACAGCCACTGCCAAGAACTGCAAATACAACCAACAAAAACCATCCCCAAAATGAATTATAATGAACTGGTATTGTTTGAACTAGGAATATTGGAGGGAAGAAACACCACATCCACGTCGTAGCGTGCAGAGCAGCGCGCACAACGCCGTCGCAGCGACGACGACTGGAGCGAGGAGTCTCGCGCAGTGCCGCTACTACAGCGGCGTTGAACAATCAGACGTGCTAGTATTCTTCTCCGACATATTGTTCCTGAAGTTCTTAAAACCACTGGCATCGGTGGAACTGCCACCGAGCCACTACTTCCAGCTGAAGCAAGACAGCGGAGAAGAGAGACGGTGGAGAGAGGGCGAAATGATGAAAAAGAAAGGAAAAATAGATCTAGGTTTAATTTATAGATACCTAATTTTTGAATAATGAAACTTGGTCCCTAATTTTTTAATTCTAATCTTCAAACACCTGGAATTATGTAATTTCCACCTTAATCTATATAAAACTATTGACATAAAAAATATAATCAAAGGGGGCTTCCATGGCCACAGATTTAAGAGGTATATCACGACATCTTGACACGAGACCTCACGTTATAACATACCATTTGCAATTATTGTCTAAATAATCTAACTCGTGACGAGGCTTCATGTTATTACATGGAGAATTGAATGAATGATCATATATTTCCAGCAAATTAAAAGGAGAATCTTATTCTCAGAAAGTCGTATTCGTTAAAAATACCAAATAACCCAGGTAGGCGACATTAACATAAATCATGAAATTCAAAAGTTCGACAAACTGCATTACAGTCCTGTATTTCCAGAGTCACGGAATAACTTACATTGTTGTTTGATAAAAGATCGCATTTCAATCAAAAGTTGATGGAATTGGCTCAGGGAATGGTGCGCTGATAAAGGGGCAACGCACCCAACGCTTCACGTTCAGCTCTCTCTCTTTTGATCTGCATCCACATCACAGACACCATTACACAAAGGATAACATCGGTGCTAAAATACATAACAGGGAAACCTCATTGTCCTAAGCCACAGGCATGTTCACGCAATTAAAGCTAGAAAATCACTCGTGTTCCCATGCATGTAAAACACAGCCACAAATATTTAAAAAAAAAAAAAAGGTTTATCCTTCGCTTGTGAAAATTTCAAGCTTAGAACATTTAGATGATATAGGTACTTACAAGAGCCAACATCTCCTGAAGATAGCTTCTAAATGGCGTCTGCATAGCCTGTGAGAAATTAAAGATGAAACATATTACACATTTCAAGATATAAACTAAATTCTTACTTCAGTTCTTCACTGAGTTTATCCATGCAGACTTGGTTATTATCAAACCTAAATTGAACATAATAGAGAAGGAATAATAAAGCTGTTAAAATTAATGAAAAATAACAAGATTTAAGGGCTTTACCCTACAAGTAGTCACTTTCATATGCTTCGCCATGATTCGAACCGGTTAACAAAATAAAAGACATACGATATACCGACATTTTATATGTCCGAAGAGATGATAAAATATTTAGGGCCAAAAAATGATCACTATTATAGCATTCGTATCATCGTACGATATTCTTTATATATTAGAATTTTTTAAAATTATTCGAACGCCATAATTCTCTATATATATTTTTATTTTTCGAAATTAAAGATTTTTTAAATGGTTTGTTGATACAAGAAAGCACTGGATTTTATCCTTCGATTTTTTATATAAAATATATTGGAACTACAAAAATATTTTCCAAGTCTCCTCTATAGAAATCGAAATTATATTTGTCAAACTTTTGGTTAATTGTCGATTTTCATTTGTGAAATTCACCACATATAATTTAGAGTTTGAATAATATAATATAGTAGGCTAATAGCCTATTGGTAAGTTGATCATGATAACTACCAAGAGGTCTTAGGATCTACTATCAAGCCTTTCTTTATTTTGGAAATTTTTAGAAAACTGGTTGCTTCATCTGAACGAACTCACCACTTTTCAAAGAGAACCAGCTAGTTCATATGGTTGAACCACATTTCATTGACACACAATCCTAACATTGTGACCAGATATGATGAAGGCAAAATAATAATTTCATTTAATTTTAGATTTGTCCGTTTTTGGTGAATTGCTATTCTAATTAGATGGAAAACGGGCCTATGATCACAACTCAGGGCCTTTAGCACGTCAGATTTTGGGCAAATTCCGTCGTTTAGACCTTCAATTAAGCCTTTTTGCCGTTTATGGTAATTTTTGTTTTGACAATATCTTAATCAAATAAACTCGGATTTAATTTCCGTTTATTGGGGGATGATCCTGGTGATTAGGAGAATCAAGATCCGTCATTATCTCAATTTTTTTCATTTTTGAAAAAATAATATTTTCTCATTATTATGTAATTTTTCCAAATTTTTTTAAAATTTTCGCTATTTAAGCGTTGTAAACCCTTTGAGGCAGCGCAATTTTGAATGAA